CAGTTGCACATCTGGCTATAAAGAACACAAAAGGCCCAGGGCAGCCCACATGGAAATACTCATCACAGCTCTGAAATGGAAGGACATTCATCAGGGTTCGAATTACACTTCGACTCTTTGGGGGCAGTGAGATGTGGGGGGGCACAAAAAAATTAAACCTGTTCATTGATTAACAAGTCCACCTAAGTGAAGGAGCAACCTGATCAGAGACCCCCAAGGTTATGCTTTTCAAATATTATGGGGGGAGGGGAGGAGTCAGTCCCCCCTGAGCTCCCTCTTAATTCTCACCCTGGTGTTCATTCTACTTGGAAGTGGACATGGGTGTGACACTCAGAGTCAGAGCACTGAATATTTTACCACCCCTCCAGGGTGGGGCTATTTTGATCTGTAACCAGAGCAAGTTTCAAATGAACAGATTTATGGATTCTTTGACTAGACAAACTTGCCAATAAGGGCTTTGTGAGAACATCCATCCTCCTGGGAGGTTAAGCAGTGGAAGTCTTCTTAGATTATCACAATGGGAACAGGATTGTGATAAGACTCACAAGTGACTGATAATGTGTGGGCAAAAGCATATCCCACTCAAGGATTTCCAGAAACTTTACAACTTAAGACTCAACATCCTAAAAGAGTAAATTAAAACCATCTTTTTCATTTTATGGCTTTGGGGGAGGGCAAAGGTACAGAGTGGTGAAGTAATGCAGCACATTGCTTGTAGATCCAGAAATAAATATATAAAACATTGATGTTCAGTTGGTATCCTGGGAAAGATGAAAAGTATTAAATTTATGCATGTTAGCCAAGTATTCCCAAAAACAACTGTTAGAAGATCTCCAAGTTGCAGGATTTTCAGAAGCGCTCAGGAGTGGCTTAAACTGTGGTCACTGTTGACAATCCCACCAGATTTATCCAAGGAAGAGAATGAGACTGAGGAGCCTTCTTCAGATGATCCTGTGTTATTTGCTGTGTCACCTTAAAATTCAAAGCTCTAGCATTACCAGAATTCATCCATAAATTTTATGTCAAGGCGTATCACACAGACAAAACAAAGGTACACACACATACATGTGTGTGTATTTGTATGTATACACACACACACACACACACACACACACTTTTAGTCTCCAGGAAATGGAAAGCACAGATTACAATATCACTAAAATATTATTTTACAGTTCTCTCTATATAATATATATAATTAAGGGAGTATATGACAAGGTTCTAACTTCTATGTCCCATAAGATTAATCTAATGGTCAAATCCATCAAAGTTTAAAAATGCATTAAAATACTTACAGAAACCATCCCCCTTGCACCACATGCAATTTTAAGAGAACAAGAACACTTACATTCAAAATTGCAAGCATCTTTGGACTGGATGAAGATCTTTGTTTGGCCCAGTCTGCATTGCTCCCAAAGTCAGAAAAGGGAGAAATAAAACCTAAGGATATTATCCAAACCCTAGATGTTAAAAAGCAAAAAAAAAAACCCCAAAACCCAACAATTCACCCCCACACAACTTCTCCTGCCAAGAGATGAGAAGATTTTTTTGAGCTGAATTCAAAATCAGAAATAGGAGGCTTATAGCCAGTGGTGTAAAACAAATCTGAACCTTGCCCTACAAAAACTGAAAAGCTGGTTCAGGCATTTCATCAGCAGCAAGGATCCAGAAAAGGTTAATAAAGATTTAATTGTA